TGCACGAACCACTCTACCTTAATGTCACCGTATGAACAATACCCGATGAATAATTAGAAATTTAAAAACCTAACAAATGTCACCAGACAAACCATGCTCTTTTAGGCAGTGTAGGAGCGCCCTCTGTTTAACCTAAACAGAGTTATCTCCCCCGCATCATTCCCCGCAAAGCCCATTTAACGCTCTTGCATAAATGTCACTTTTTACCATTGGTGCACGAATCGTGTACTATAATGCGTTTCAGTGCCATTTGTAACAAGGGACAAGAAAGAAGGAGGCTAGACATATTTCACAAATCTGCCAAACGCTGAAATATTTATTTCACTTTTACATATTTACGTAATTAATTTCTCTTGAAAGTGTATCCATGCAGTCCGGTGTTACGACATTTATATTCTCTGTGTAGTTTAATAATATTTTATTCAATAAACTGTATTGGACTGAACAACAGGCAAAGGCCTATATAAGTTCTCTCCATACATATAATAAACAATGGTGGATATATGTATTGGTAGTGAGTTACAAACACATATACATTTCCTGGAGTGTAATGGTTAGATATATATTATATTTACATTTAAGGTTATGAAAATAGAAAAAATATTACATAATGTAAATATAGGTTTAATAATAAAAGCTTTAAAACCTATTGCTATTGTAGCGATTCGACCCCCTGACCCTTAATGCTGTATCGCGCCCTTTCCCCACAGGCTTCCAGGGAAACGTGCTACACAAATATATATGTGTATCGTTCGTTCCCAGCCTAGCACTACGATCGAAAGATTGACACAAGCCAAGTTTAAAATCTCAACAATTTATTAACAGTTAAGAAAGACTGTAATGATATATGCTGTGTAATAATTATAAATACATGCAATATATTATATTATTATATTTTACAATTCAGTTAAGCTTGTAAGCTATAGGCTATATTTACTATATTATATAATATGAAATAATTTATAAATAAGAATAAGATGCTTGTAAGCTATAATATTAATGAATGCAGGTCACGGATGGCAACACGTTATAATTATAAGCGGAACTGTTATACATTAAACAAGTTCTGAACTTGTATTACTATCAATAATTATATAGGCCTATCACTAACAATAAATAGTTTAAGTAGTAAAACTATAGTAAACTTATTATAATTATATTAATATGCTAGTTAAATATGCAGCAAGTGTCTGAAAATCCAATCCTTGTGATTAAAACAGGTTTGTTATGGATGCAACAAGTTTGTTATGAATGCAACATGAAGTTATGAACATATTCTGATTACAACATGTTAGCTTTTAAACATTTAGGCCTATGTTATGTTTGTAACATGCACTTTGTAATTGAATAGAACTGAGTTACTTATGTTGCAGCACGAACTTGTTTAAACACGGTCATAACCGTAAGCAATCCTTACCATATTGAAATGAAAATTGGTTGACAGAGATCTGCAGTGAAAAGGCGATCTGTCAAAATAGCCGTCTGATCTCTATTTATAATACCCGCGGAAAACGACTAGCCAATCAGAAGACGGCGTTTAGCCGCGATACCAAGTAACGTCTCGCGCTTCAGTTCCGCCATGCCGGTTGACAAGCGAACGGAAAATAGCTGTGCTGTAGGATAAATACGAATTACAAAGTTATGCAAGCTCGACTACAGCCTATTATGTCGTAGTTTACAAATAAGGTATTCGGGAGTAAATCACATTCAGGACGATCCAAGACAATGCATAGTTTATTGGTTATTTAATGGCGAAGTGTGATTTACGCGAGCGTGACAATTTGACAAGCGACATGACTATTGCGCACGATAACTGCGCATAGCCCATAATAATAACAAATAGTAAACAATGGAAGCGGAGAAAATACAACTGGATATAATAAAGAAATAACACGACAATAATATAGAATGGAGGATGACATAGAAGGCAAATGGTATAATCATTACACTATCTTTTATAAATACGTCAGAATTTGTATCATATGAAAGATCGGTGTTGCCACATAAGATTAGATGAATTGTAACATATTAAACTGGTGAGAAATATTCTTGGGGCAGAGTAGCCTAGGCTGGACACCCATGTTTCGCCCAGAAAATGGTGGAATAAGTTATAATAGGTTATTATCCTGGCAGTGTAAATTTAGCTCGATTTTCATTTTTCGATATGCAAACTTAAATCTCAAAAAAGCAGATTTGAGGGATGTACAGCTACAAAATGTCCCCCAAACACATTTGATTAAATACGGTTTCTAACACGGAAAAAGATATCACCAATGAGGATGCCTGAGCAATGGATTCACATAAGAACTGCACTTCCTCCTCGTTTATTGATATTTGCGAGCTACTCGTTTTTCAATAATGAGACTTGAATCAATCAAAAATACTGATTTTAATCATGTATATCTGCAGAATGTCTCCAAAACACATTTAATTAAAATCAGTGTTCTAAAACTCGTATCAATATACAAGGAGAAAGAGCAGTTTTTTTATGTGAATCCACTGCTCAGGCATCCTCATTTATGATATCTTTAGTTCGTTTTAGACAACTTATTTAATCAAATGCGTTTTGGAGACATTCCGTAGATATACATCCAACAAATCTGCGTTTTTAAGATTCAAATTTGAATTCTTTATTTTATATGGATATATTAATTTGTGTTTTATGCTACGATCAGACAGTGATTCCCACCCAAGCTCTTTGTATAAATTATTGTAGATGAATTTCTTCTAAGGTCAGTTATTATTCTACCTACTTCAGTTTGAACACTTTCTAATAGGTCGGAATCCTTCACTGAACAGTTACCACATAAAATATCAGCATATTCTAAACTCAGGCGAATAAAAAACAAGATATATTTTTATAAGGGAAATTTTATTAATTTTATATTTCAGTATACGCACAATACTTAGTCGACCGCAAGCTTTCTGGTTTATATTTGAAATACGATTTGACCATAATGCATTAGACCGAAATCTTAATCTCAGATGACAATGAGTATATACGTTTTTCAACTTTTGTATTTTCGAAGATACCGCCTGGATAAATAGTATTTTTCCTAGTAAAAATAACATTTTTTGGTTTTATTTTGGTTAATAAAAGTTACACACCACTGTTTAGCCTACGATGAGATAATATTCAGATCTGTAGTTGTAGAGTTCGCGCTACTTAGAGGACCATTATGAATAATATGGTAAGAAGTGAAGTATCATCGGCGAATAGTCGTATGTTTTTAGTTATATTATCAGATATATCATTTGAATAAATTAAAAATAAAAACGGACCCAGTACACTTCCTTGGGGGACTCCAGAATCGGTATGAAAATAATTTGATTTGAAAGCTTCTATTGTTGTCTATTACTTAAATAGTGTTCGATCCATTTACAAAATATTTGATTAATTCCATATTGTTTTTATTTAGACAATAAACCTTCATGCCAAACTTTATCAAACGCTTTTGATACATCGAATTTGCTTTCCTATATCAAGATTACTTATTATAACATCATAAATTTCTAGAAGTTATTTATAGTAGACTCGTTTGGTTGAGAAGCAGATCCTGATACTTATATAACAGGTTATTTTCTTTTATAAAATTATAAAGATTTTTTAATAAGATTTTTGAATAAGATTTTCTCTAGTATTTTACATAATGAGCATGTTAATTGGTCTCTAGTTGTCAGGGAAATGTGGATCACCCTTTCCTTTATACACTGCATTGATATGAGAAGTCTTCCAAATATCAAGTAATAATTGGAGTTCTAATGAAAGATTAAAAAGTTTAGTTGCAATGATAATCAAGAATTCAGTAAATTTTGAACTTATGGATGAATATACGGATAATGAAGGGAGGTTTATATTATTAAGTATTCATTTTGAAGATGTTATATTCACATTAATATGTGTTTATGCACCAAATCAAAAGAAAAGAAGAAATACGTTTTTAAAAAAATAAATAAGATAATAAAACAAAATTCCAAGGGAATTTTAATTGCAGGTGGTGACTTTAACGATACTTTAGCTATACACAGGATAGGAAAAATAAACATTCGGGGGAGTAATTTCTAAACTTTCTAAAAGTTTTAAAAATATATTAAAAGCTAATAAATTAATTGATATTTGGAGAACTCTAAATAAAGAAAAACAACAATTTACATGACGTAGAACTGACCAGTCATAATATAGTAGGATTGATTTATTATTGGTATCAAAGGATTTGTTTTCACAGATAAATGTATGTAAAAGAATATAGTTATTAAATATACAGATCATCAAATTTCAAATAAACCCGAATGAAAAGGGTAACAGTTATTGGAAAATAAATAACTCAATTTTGGAAGATGATGAATATAAACTACTAATAAACTGTGTACTAGAAGAGTATAAATCCAAATTAGAAAATAGGCAAATTAGAAAAGAGAGAAAACAATAAGCTATTGTAAAACTAAAAATAAGGAATCTAGAAATGAATTAAAAGATCTCGAAAATGAATTAGAAACAAAATATAAAGACAGAGATAGACTATACCTGATTACGATAAATGTAATCGTAGAGATATTTTATATTATAATATTGAACTGGGTTTTCATATTGAATATAATATGTAAACGCATATAATATGAAAACACCGTACTTGTTAATTCTGTTTATATTAGTTTTATAACCGCCCGTACCTTTAATATATTCAGATATAGGTAAGACTTTATTCAATAATAACAAATAGTATAACACTGAGTAGCTGGTAGACTTTCTATATACAGGTATCTGTATATAGGTATATATTCATGCAGGTATATAGATCAGTAGCTATATAATATTATAGGTATGTAGGCTGGATGTTTTAGGCGCTAATATATACTGTAAGTGTGTGTAGGATATTGGATAGTTCAATGGGTATACTACATATAGTGCTGGTTAAATTTTAAAATCTATATACAGAACTCTACTATTGTATTGAGCAGATCTTTAAATATTATACTCAATAGCTCCTGGAATATTTATATCAGCAGATTTAACGGTAAGGCATCTTTATATATTATACTCAATAGCTCCTGGAATATCTATAAAATGACGTGATAATTAAATGTAAAGCTATATTAACGACAATTATCACGCTGTAGAATTCCAATATTATCTAAAAGTCAATTCCTGGATCTATTTTATGTAGTTACTTTAGTAACGATGTCTGTTAGAGGCTTACTCTCATCGTTACTACCCGATCCTAAAGACAACTAATATAAAAATAAGGCCTTTCTCCCATTTCGGTTCTAAGGCTATTTTGGAATCCTATTTCTCATCGTTATTCTACTTTGATCGCCAAAGGGAATCATTTCTTGACACCTCCGACACGCATTTATAATAATCCAACACTATTTGCATGTAGAAGTGATACAGAACAAAAACAAAATTCATTTGAATTAGTCAGCCATTTTGAAACTCACGCCTGCACTCAGCCGATATACCAAATTTAGGAATGAAACAAAATTCTTGCTGTACTTTAATTATGTATTAATCGATTTTATGTAATAATTGTTTATGTATCTTGAATACTTAAACTTAAGTGGTATCAATATGGGCAGTTTTTTTCCGTTAATTGACGTACATAATTTTCATTCCATTCCTAAATATGGAATACCGACTCAGTATAACTATGAACCCGTCTACGCAGGCATGAGTTTCACAACGGCTGACTAATTCAAACGCATTTTGAAAAATATAATGAATATTAAGAATTTTATCTAAAATTCGGAACCAAAGAACAGGAAATGTCTAAAATGATTGTACGAGTTTACAGTATCTGATGTAGGGCGAAAGTTATTTTTTAGTCTTTCTCTACCTTTCCCCCCCTTTTGCATGGTAATTTTTGTTGATTTTTTGGTGTAGAATCGACGAAAAGGGTTTGTAAATACATTTTCTGACAGATTTTGGTGAATATTCATAATTTTAAGGCGGAAGGATACAAGAGTTGACAGGTTGGTTAGGTTGAAATGTTGGACCGAAAATTGCATGTTACCTTGTCTCTACTTCCAGCTCATACCTGCTTTTGGGGCAACAGGTTGCCACATGTTGCTCCATGTGTGGTTGAAAGCGTTCTACCCAACGAAAATTTGGGAAAAAGTTGTGGTTTACTTAACCGACGATCTAACTTTAGGTATTGGTGTTAAGGCCAAATCCATCAGGGACGATTGTCTCACATGATGCGTGCTAATATCCGCTATATAATTGGTGTTACAGGGGCGGATCTAGGAATTTTGAAAAAGGGGGGGGGGCGCTGCAAAATGAAGGCATTGACCGCGGAGACGGGGCGCGCCACTGGGGGGGGGGGGGGTAAGAAAATTATTCGTCATTTCCTTGCATCTGTAGCCATTCCAAGAGCTATTTCCCAGACTGTTGTGTTTGAGTCGATGGTTTGAGTCATTTGGGATCCCTATAACGGGTTGGGAACGGACATATACTATTCAAAAAAAGTAGGGGATATTTGATTTTGGGGGCATAATACTAAAATATGCAAATGACTACGAAAAAAGTCACTATAGAACCTAACAGAAGAAACATTTCCAGTTACATGTGACGCCCAAACGCACCAATAGCTACCGCATGGAATGCAGGTGATGCTTGGGATCATTATGGGGGTCGCCCAATATTTGCACGACTCTGACTTTGAATGTTACAGTCATTGTGGCATTGAATTCCAGGGTGGAAACATCAGTTTAATTGTTTTAGTGACCAGAAAACAAATTTTGATATGCGTCGGCTTACCCAAAATGAAAGGTTACGTGCCCTTGGCATGCTACAGATCGGCACAACACAGGCGGTTGTGGTGCGGACGATGAATGTTTCTCAGTCTGTCATAAGCAGGCTATGGTCCAGATACCGTGATACACAATCTGTACAGGACAGACCACGCTCAGGTCGACCAAGGGCGACAACTCAAGCCCAGGATCGATTTATCCGTACCTTGGCCTTGAGAAATCGTGTCATCACAGCAAATCAGATCAGCGCTCGTCTTCAAACAGAGACTGGTGTGAGAGTGAGTGGCCAGACGATTCGGAATCGACTGCATAGGGGTCACCTTCGCGCCCGACGTCCTCGCGTGATCCCTTGTTTGAGAGATCATCACATTCAGGCAAGACGTCGTTGGTGTAGGGATCGTCAACACTGGGATAATCGACGCTGGAGCAATGTGATGTTTTCAGATGAGTCAAGGTTCACTGTTGATTTTTTGGACAGACATAGAAGGGTGTGGCGTCGTCGAAACGAGCGCTTCCAAGACGTTAACGTCATCAGACATGATCGATTTGGGGGTGGTTCTGTTATGGTGTGGGGAGGCATCACTGTTGCTGGAAGAACGGCTTTACATGTTGTTGCAGGGCGTGTTACAGACCAGTACTACCGGGACAACATCTTGGCAGTCCATGTTGTGCCGTTCGCACGACGTCATGGCCGCCGTTTCATCTTCCAGGATGACAACGCAAGATGTCACAGTGCCAGGATCGTTACAGGTTACCTCCAACAACAGAACATCACCACATTACCTTGGCCAGCACTGAGTCCCGACCTCTCCCCCATCGAGCATGTCTGGGACATGCTTGGACAGAGGTTACGTCAACGTCAACAACGTCCTGCCAATGTCCAAGAACTTGCTGCTGCGTTGCAACAGGAATGGGACAATCTGGACCAAAATGACCTTCGACGTCTCATTAGGAGTATGCCACGTCGGATCAATGCTTGTTTGGCAAACAGAGGAGGATTTACCCGTTACTGACTTGGTTGTGATGCTGTGGTAACTTTGCTGTTTGACCCCGGGTATCATTTTACCCTTATAATGGTCAGTCTGTGCCTTACTTAGTCTAACGATCATTTGGAATAAATCGATGAATGTGAACTTCATTTCATTTTGTCATTTGTTTCTTCGTCAGTTTCATTAGGTGACTTTAATAACACTTAAAAATCAAATATCCCCTACTTTTTTTGAATAGTATATTTAAATAAAGCTAGGTGTAATAAACTTAAAGTACGATCCTGGTTCAATGAAATTTGTACTTCCCAATATAAACTCCACAAAAATGCTTTGAGTAATTTTAATAAAAATAAATCTCTTGAAAATAGATTAATTTTATCTTACACAAAATGTTCATATAAAAAATTACAAATTAAACTTAAACGCATCTATATGGCACGAGAAGGCAACTTCTATGAACATTTTAGTGACTTGGCTTTAAATATAACACATAATATTGATCATGAAGTAAAAGAATTCTTATCTCAATATGATAATCAGACACTTTCTGAAAACGAAGTAAAGGATGACCTTGATGTTGACCTTAATGGGCCAATTACTTATCACGAGATTTTTAAAGCCATCAAGAATTTAAAAAAGAGCAAATCTTGTGGAATTGATGGAATTATTAATGAAGTATTTATTTATTGTTCACAACAACTTGTACCCGTTTTAAACATTTTATTCAATAATATTTAAGAATCTGGTTGTTTCCCAGCTACTTGGTGTATTGGTGTAATAGTGCCTGTTTTCAAAAAGGGCGATTCCAGTAACCCTGACAATTATAGAGGAATTACCCTAGTTAGCTGCTTGAGCAAATTATTCACTGGCATATTAAACAATAGATTATTAGAATATGACAAATCACATTGTAGTATTATTAATTCTCAGTTTGGTTTCAGAAAAGGTTTATCAACTACAGATGCTATTTTTAATCTAAATACGTTGATCAACCGAATTTTAAAACATAAAAAACGTCTTTATTGCTGTTTTGTTGACTATTCAAAAGCCTTTGACTTAATCACACGAGTAAATCTATGGTATAAACTAATTCAGGAAGGCATAAAAGGAAACATTTTAAAATTGATACATTCTCTATATGATCAGGTAAAATGTTGTGTTAAACTACATGGTGATTTGTCGTGAACTTTTTTAATTGTAATTCAGGTCTATTTCAAGGCGAAATTTTAAGTCCCAAATTATTTTCATTTTACGTTCATGATATTGAAAACCATTTGTACTCTGAAAATTGTCCATCCATTCCATTAGATACCATGAACCTTTTTCTTTTAATGTACGCGGACGACAAGGCGGTGTTCTCGGAAACGCCCGAGGGTTTACAACAGTTGCTTGACTCATTATGTAAATATACTTGTAAATGGAACCTCGCTGTAAATACGAAAAAAACTAAAATTGTTGTTTTTAGAAATGGGGGGAAATTATCAGAAAATGAAAAATGGTATGAAAAATGGTTTTGTAATGGTAATGAATAAGAAATTGTTGACACATTTAACTATTTAGGATTGATTTTAAACTATAATGGTAAATTTTTGAAAACCCAGAAACATGTAGCTGATCAGGGCAGAAAAGCTTTATTCTCTGTATTAAGAGTATGTAATGATAACTTTTTTTAACATTGAAACTAAATTGTCAGTATTTGATACTTATGTCGGAAGCATTTTATCATATGGAGCAGAGATATGGGGATTTCATAAAGCCGCTGATGTGGAGAAAGTTCAATGAAATTTTTATAAGCGAATATTAGGAGTTAGACAAACAACTATGCACAGAATGAGAAAAATTAGAATTTTTAAATATTGGACAAAACTAATAAATACTGATAATAAGATTTTAAAATGTTGTTTACAGGACCAGGTATCTAATAAAAGTCAATAGATTACAAATATAAGGAATGAACTATTTCAAATATGTTTAGGCTATATTTGGGAAAATAGAGAATTCTGTAACTCATCATATTTCAAAACCATTAAGTATAGAATTTTAGATATTTTTAAACAATTATGTATAGAACATATTTGTAATTCATCAAAAGGTCTCTTTTATCAGCATTACATTTCAAATTTTAACTTACAATATTATTTGTCCAAATTCATTCCATATAAATATACTAATTGTATTTCAAAAATCCGTTTATCTGCCCATAACTTATTTATAGAAACAGGTAGATACAACAGTATTGCTAAAAATAAAAGGTTTTGTAAATTTTGCGATAATGA